ATTGTGAGGGGAGCCTATTTTTTTTTAACCTATTTTATTGATTTGTATTTAATGTGAGGAAAATAAAATGACTTAGCCAAAAAAAAGTAATAGTACAATTACTAACCTTTCCCGTGTACATCATTTTACGGAGTATGAATGACTGACTTGCTAACTGACGGACTCTTCTCAGAGGGCTCTGGCCCACCCCTGCAATTTACACTATAGCTACCAATCCCCCACGCTGCTACCGACTAATAACCAATCAGTGTTCTCATGCTTGTGTTCTTTATAAAACTTAGATGTGATTAGTTATCGAACTTGCATATATTGCTATGTATGTAAACATGATAATACACCTTTGTGCATGAGTATAGATAACATATTTTTTAAAGTGAAAAAAAGAAGGGGTGGGTCTGTAACCTTTTCTTCAAGCACCTAACAGTGAACGGTTGACTAAGCATCTCTGTGCACAGGATCCCATTACGTCACCAAACTCGGAGCCTATGACCTCTGGCTTCACTTGCTATTTCTAGACAAGAATTTTAAAAACAACGTGCATAAATTCCTCTATCCGGCATGTCTTGGAAATCTCCCAGCAATACATGAAACAAACCACGCCCCTCAAACTCACTGCCATCTAGCTGATTCAGCCTCATTCCACTGTGGCAGTGACATCATCTCCTGTCAACTTGAATGAGGGGTGGAGTCTAGCCTGTCAATCAGGTCACAGCCAATGAGACCTCTGTGTGGGCGTGGCCTTCTCTTAAGGATTCTGGGAACTCCTGACTTCTTCCCTGGAGGCGGAACACACACACACTCTGCTTCACATTCCTGATGACAAGCCACATAGAGCTATGCTGATAGAGCCAGAGTCCTGGCGCTGGAGGAGCCACGTGGAGACCCACGCCAGTGCCGAGATGTTTCCACCACTACTGGATGCACAAGACTTTCCACCCACTGGCCTGTGAGCTTCCTGCCTTCAGCGCCAATGCATGTGTTGCATGAGTGTGAATAGTAATTTATAGACTGGTATCAGATAATATCGGACTTATGGACTTGATCTGAACTGGGCTGGGCTGTTTTCATATAATACAATTACTCTTTGATATAAAGCTCTCTCTTACACACCAGTCTCCCTAGATTTGTTTCTCTAGTCTACCGGGACTAACACTCCCATTCCCTAGAGCAGCGTAGAACTGGCCCATTGGGTTTCTGAAGCTGGGGATCATTATGGGAGCAGGAAGCCTCATCCTTCCTCCAGTCACTGGTGCAAACAGCTGACCCTGCCTTTAGCAGCCCAATGAGCCTACCCCGCTAGCCCCCTGGGGTCATCCTCGGTACACGAAGTGCATCCTTGTTGTTTTTGACTGCTTTGTGGGGGCCCACCGGCGATGGTGATGCCCCAGACTGTTTAACCAGTCCTTCACTAATAGCCATTTGTGTTGCTCCCAATCTTTTTTTACTTTCTTCCTTTTTACGGGTCTTTCTATTCTGCTTTATAAGGTTTGCGGAGTCTGAATCTACTCAACGGCAGTGAGTGAGCTTCTTTTTTAACTTTTATTGGCATATAATTGAGAGGATACAATTCAATCATTCCAACCCAACACCGTCTTTGCAGGAGGAAGCTGAAGCCTGGAGCGCTCACGTACTTCACTCTAGTGGAACTGTGGACAACGGCAGAAGGAAGAGGGCTACAGAGGCATAGGATCCCAGTGTCGAGATTTAAAAAATATTTTTATTTTGAAGTATTTTAAGCAGACAGTAAAAAAAACCCACCTATGATACTATTGTGTTAGATCAGTATTCTCACATATCAGAATCCATTTAAAACAAAGGAAACCCCTGATGCCCCCCACCCCACCGGACCCTCAGCACCACCTGAGGCGGGAAGGCAGGGCAGTACCTGTCCCACTTTGTCCAACACATGATTTTATACTCTTATTTCATAGAATTTGAACCACAGGAAAAAAGTTGTGCAAAACAGTTACATTGTTCACTACACACCAACGCTTACATGCAAGCCATCATTCCAAGCATTTTACATGCATTATTTCATTAATCCCACCCCCACCAGTCACTTCAATCAGATAGAGGTTGTTACACCCACCCATTTGACAGAGAAAATGAAACATAAATAAGTTTGAGTAATGTGTCTACAGATAACACAGGAGGAAGCTTACCTTCACATAAACGGTAAATACCACTTGTCGTGTAGCTTCTGTGCCTTTGTGGGAATTGTTCTTATTTACGTTGAGAGACAAGAGTCAAGGTCTTCCATATTTACTTTCCAAAATACCCTACGAGGTGCATTTCTGATCTGCTCTTCCGTTGAGGGGATTCCAGGCTGTCAAAGCACGCTGCCCACACAACGCTGCAGTGAGCAGGCACAGGCTCAAGTCCCAGTTCCAGAGGAGGCGTGCCTCCAGGGTGTATCCCAGAAGAGGACTGTGCGGCAGCTGTGAACTGGAATGCTGCCACTCACAGCAGCGGGAGTCCCCGGTGGTCCAGATTCCGCCCACCCTTCAGCTTTTAAAACCATGCCAAATTGGTGAGTGTGAGATGGTTAAGAATTTAGGTTTCCCACACGTCCTTCTCTACACACACCTGATAGCCTCTGTTAGCAAATGGGTGGGAGCCTACTACGCTGAACACCTGACCAAGAGCCCTCTGATCCCTGCTCCCCTCTGAGCTTAACGGTCCCAGGCTCTCTGGCTCCCCCCACCCCCCAAAAAAAACTTCAGTTCCTGCTGCCAAGGTGGGGGAAAGGAGAGGGGGCCAGGATTGGAAGATGCAACACGTGTTGGGATGCAACACCAGGATGTGAGATGAAAGCTGTGGCTGCAGTCCCTGGACTCAGAAATCCCCCACTGGCTCCTTGCCAGCAGGAGTGTGATTGTGGGGGCTCCCAGACAACACCTCACTTGGGGCACCCTAAAAAAAAACCCAACCCTGACCTAAATGCAATACTATGTATTTATACACACAGCCCTAAATAGAAGGCTCTCTGTGCAAAATCTCCTGTGTGGAAAACGGATCAATGTGCACCCTTACCTGGCTTTCCGAGAGCTCAGGACAGAGACAATCATCAGGGAAGGTCAGGCCTTACAGAATGAGGACCTGGGCCATTAGGGAGGAGGGTGGCAGGTGACAGAAGACAGCCAAAGAGGCAGGGCAGTGCAGGGGCCTCCGCGACGGGCAGTCTCTAACCTAACACTGATTACACCAAAACACTCAGCAGTTGTCACATATTACTAGGGTTTTTTCCCCTCAGCTAATCCCTACTTACTAACAGTTCTACAACAATCACGTTACACACTAATGATTAAACCGTCTGCATTAGCTTAAGCCCCAAGACATTAGCAGCTCACCACAGTATAGAGGTTTGACTTGTAGTCTTTATACATTTTTTAATCAATCTGAAAGTGTAAAGAAGTATTATCTTACTGGGCTGAAATGGTAGTAAAAACACTTTTATCTGGGTAAGAGCTCTGTAAGGTGCTGGGAAGGGCAGGGAGTGAGGGTGGGGCAAAACACAGACAGAAGAAACCAGGTACTTCTGTGCTTGGAGTCACAACTGGCATGGGAGTTACAGGTCCTGGTCCTGCGATCACTCCCCACCCGGAGCCTAGCCTTGGACTGGCTGGGGCTCCGGTCTCTCCGGTTTTACATGTGAGGAACGTGATGTAGTGGGGCTCAGGGAGCACTCTAACAAAGGGGCTACCTTCTGGCTGGAACCCACTGTGCCCGGGCCTGGACACCTGACTCCAGGCTGTGGTGGCCAGGGCCATAGGTAGGCCCTGGGGAGGATGGGGCAGCCACAGGAAGGGGCTCCTCCTGGATGGGCAGATAGCAGGGATGACTAATCCTTCCTGAGCACAAGGCTGAGGGGGTGCCCCACTACCAAGAGGAAATGCCTTCCCTGGAAAGCTCAACACCTCGTCCTGGTCAACATGTATGTCCGGAGAGGCTTCCCCAGCATCTCTCCTTCCTCCACTTTACCACCAGAGCCTTCATTTCCCCGCCCATGGTAACCGGAGTCTGTTTACTTCTGTTTCTGTTTTCTTTAGTAAAGTTTTATTGGGCCATAAACTAAATTTTTCTTCTCCCACTCTCCACTGAGAGCTGTTTCTGCCCAGAACAGATGCCCAAAAGCCAACTACGAAGGTGGGAAGTTTAACCAGAACTCTCCAAGAGGAAGTGGGGGGGGAGATAACAAAGGTGGGTGAAGGGGGACAATGGACAGTGTAAAACATGAAATAACAATGATATATAATTGATCAAGGGCTCACAAGGGTGGGAAGTTGGAGGGGGAGGGGGGCAAAAGAGAGGAACTGATACCAAGGGCTCAAGTAGAAAGAAACTGGTTTGGAAATGTTGATGGCAACATATGTACAAGTGTGCTTAATACAATTGAATGATGGATTGTTATAAAACTTCTAAGAACCCCCTAATAAAATGATTTTTTAAAAAGTGAAGCTCTCTTAGAATTAGAAACTGCTGCATTTGCAATAGAGATACAGATCTTGCTGGGGGTGGGGGGGGCGGAAGGCTGGGGAGACCAGGAGTTCCTGATGCTGTTGGCTAGGTCAGGTCAACCGCAAAGGAGACAGGAAGGCTCCAATTGGCTCAGTGCCGGCGGCCACAGACACTGTCCAACCACAAAGGGCAGTCAGACTCTCCTTTTCAGCTACGGAAGGAAACCTCCTGGGGTCGTTTAGCAAAGGCCACTCGTACGGCCCTAGCTGCCAGAGGAGCCCCAAAGAACATGTTGCTGCTCTGCGCCAGCAGAGAGAGGCACTGAGCTTTCAAATCCTCAGGCTGATTCTCTGCCCCCGGCTTATAAAACAGGAAGAACTGGGCCCCCTGAAAGGGTTCTCCTGTGCTCCTTTAATTAAGGCAGCGGTTCTCAACCTTCCTAACGCCGCCACCCTTTAATACGGTTCCTCATGCTGTGGTGACCACCTCCCCCAACCATAAAATTATTTTCGTTGCTATTCATAACTGTCATTTTGCTACTGTTATAAATCAGGCAACCCCTGTGAAAGGGTCGTTCAATCCCCAAAGGGGTCCCAACCCACAGGTGGAGAACTGCTGAACTAAGGGGTTTCCAGCAGGAGCAATGAGGACAGCCCCTCCCCCAACACTGCCAGGCCCCCAGGCTAGTCTCTGGGGTGGTTTTTCATATGCCGAGCCAAATTGGAAGACCACCTGAAGGTCTTCCCGCACACCCTGCATTTGAATGGTCTCTCCCGGGTGTGAAATCTCTTGTGGCTGATGAGTTGTGACCCTTTCTTAAATGATTTCCCACATATGTTACACTTGTGGCACTTTCCCCCAGTCGGCATCATCTGGAGCACCGTGGGCCTGAGGCTCTGGCCAAGAGGTTCCTCACGATCTTCAAGGGGCTTTGCCTCACTGTGTTTGAATCCTGGGCTCGGCGGGGAGGACAACCCAGACTGCACGGCTCTGGTGTGTTTTCTTTCGTGAGCACACAGCGTGTGTCTGTCAATGAAGTCTTTCCCACACCACTGACATCTAAAAGGCTTCTCTTTACTGTGGACTCTCTGATGATTAACAAGGCGATAATTTCGATCATAAGATTTCCCACACAGGTTACATTTATAGCGCTTCTCTCCACTGTGAATCCCTTTATGATCCAACAGAGTTCTTTTACGAGTAAAGCTTTTCCCACATTCTTGACACCAAAAAGGTTTCTCACCAGGGAGGAGGGTTTTTGGCTGCAGATCTGGATTTCTTTGCAGATCTGGATTTCTTTCACGCTTGTGGTATTGGTAATGTTTTCTGAAAGAGTGACTCCTCTGATGTCGGGAGAGGTTGGAACTCCATCTGAAGGCTTTCCCACATTCTCTGCACTGATAAGGCTTCTCTCTGGTGTGGAGTCTCAGGTGGATGAGCAGGAATGAGAGATTAGGGAAGGTTTTGTCACACTGGCTACATTTGTAGCCTTTCTCTGCGGAGTGGCTGCTCTGAGACGCCTGGGACTCCCGAGCCTGACTAAACAGTGGGTCCTCCTTAGTTTTTCTGTCACTGGCGTGGTGCTTCTTATGAACAAAATAGTTTGACCTGTGGGCAAACGCCTTCCCACATTCACTGCACTTGTATGGTTTTTCGCCTGTGTGAATTCTCTGATGGTCAATGAGGGACTGCTTTCGAGAGAAGGTTTTCCCACAATACTGACACACATAACTTTTGTCCTCGGTGGGAAGCCCTTGGGGCTGGCCGTATTTCTCTTGTTCGTACAACTTTTTCTCCTTGTGCAATCGCATGTGACGAGTAAAGTTTGACCTCCACCGAAACGTCTTCCGACATTTGGTACACACATAGGGTTTCTCCTGGGTGTGAATCTTTTGGTGTTCAAGAACATACGATTTACAGTGGAAGGATTTCCTACACTGGCTGCAGTCAAAGGGTTTCTTCCGACTGTGATTTCTCAAATGATGATCAAATTCCGAGTCATAATTCGTGAAAGCCTCTTCATTCTGATTAGAATCCAGACATGCCTGCTCAGTGTGGGTTTCCAAGTGCACACGGTAAGCTGACCTGCGTTGGAAAGCTTTCTCACAAACACTGCATTTATACGGTTTAAGTCCAGTGTGGATTTTTTCATGTCGTATACAGTTTGAATTCCACCTAAAGGCTTTCCCACACACCCTGCATTTAAATGGTTTCTCTTGGGTGTGAAGTCTCTGATGGTATTCGAGATGGGACCTATGGCTGAAGGTCCTCTCACATTCGTTGCACTTAAATGGGGGCTCAGCAGCCATGGGAGGACTCTGTCCGGGCTGGTGGTGAGAGCCAAGGCTGCTTTCTTCCCCACCCATGTCCTTTTGATCTCCTTTCGGTGCTGCGTGATGTCTCTGAGGCAGGCCGGCTCCGCCGTCCATGAGCTGGAGACCTTTTCCATGTTCCCTGCGGTTGTGCTGGTTTGTGCTGTGTCTGAAGTGTCTGCCATGGCCACGTCTAAGAGATGGCTTCCTTCCAGGAACTCTCAAACACGCCAGATGTTTTAGGTCAAGACTATCACTTCCTCTTGATTCCTCGGGCTCTTTCCCCATCCTAGGGCTCAAACTTGTCTCTTCTTTCTTACTTCTCATTGGCTGGGGGGCTCCCCCAGGCTCCTCTAACTCTCTCTTCTGGCCACAGGATTCTTGAAGGTCTGTTCCCTCCTCAGAAACACTCATCTCAGAGCATCCTGACTGCACACTCAAGGTTTCTGCTTCCAAAGGGTCACGTTTTAAGATGAACATGTTTGTCTTACTCAGGTGCTCATCTCCTGACACAAAAGAAAACACAAGAGAATGTTTTCTCTCCACACCTGGAACTGGAGAAGCAATGAATGCCATGGATCTGGGCAGTGAGGCTTCCATCTGACTGCCAAGAAAGGCTTCAACAAACAGTCATGGGCGCACCCCAAGAAGGAAGAACATCCCAGGTAACAGACAGGGGAGGAGAAGCAGCAAGATGGCGTGAAACCTAAAGATAGGCATAAATCCAACTCAATCAGAGACTTAAAAGGCTACAGCGGGAAATGTCCCATTGCTGATGAGTCATCAACCATAGGACAGAACTGATCCGTAGCGTTTTCTTGGCCGCAATTTTTAAGAGAATCAGACTGCCAGCCCTTCCTTCCATGGCACTGCTGGGTGGGCTTGGAATGCTTGGAATCCTAGTTAAGAGCAAACCATGTATAGCAGCTGGAGGAGATGGGGAGAGGAATCATGGCATGGGGTATATTATGAGGTTACTCAAAAGCCCTGGGGTGGGCTCCAGGGAGGGTGGCAGAAAGACCTGGCAATCAGGCGCCTATCACAGATAGAAGGACTAAGCAAAAAAGAGGAGCCAAAGTGGGAGGAATGCTCCCAAGACCGGATAGGGCAGATGCAGGTAACAGAGCAGGAGTACGGGCCCAGCCTGAGCAGCAGCACTCGTGAGTGGAGAGGACAGGGAAGCTCTCTGGAAGCAAACTGTTATTGAGAGGAATGGCTAGGAGACAGTCAGGGCAGGAAATGAACGACCTCTACAAGATTCAGGGGAAAACGATTAAAAAACTAAAATAATATCCATACAAAACAAAACAAAGATTCAGGGGAGAAGCATGGGGACCCAGTCCCCTGACCACCAGAGGAAAAAGCCTTCCTCCCAGCAACACTAGGGGATGTCCCTAGCAGACAGGAGAGAGGGATAAGACTGGGTAGTTCTCTGGTACTCACCTGCAGAGGCTGCACCTGGTCTCTCTCTCTGCTGAGCTCCCTGGCCATTCAAGCCCCAGGGCTCCCTTCCCTCCAGCCAGGAGATCAAAGCAGGTTTGGGCAGTGGTCCTACTGCAGAAGAGGAGATGGAACAATTCAATCACATGGAACTTTAGGACCCTCTCGTGACTTAACAGGGAGGAAGGGAAAGACCAGGGAGGCAGGTGGAGACGCTAGGACAGGAGGTCCAGACATTTGACAGCCTTTAGCAGAGACAAGAAAGGCTGAGAGGATTCATAGCCAATCGGGCCCCTTGGATTCTCCACGGTGGGTGCAAACCACAAAAATGCAATCTGTTAAATCAACCAATACTTTTTGAATGCCTACATGGACTAAGAATTTGACACATAATGCCTTTAATCTTTGCAGTTGCCCTGTAGGAGAGACATTAGTACCCCATTATTTTTTTTTTTTCCCCAAGAGAGGAGACGGAAACGATCTAGTCAACAGAACCAAGATCTAATTCCAGGCCAGCTCCCTTTTCATGCACTGCAATGAAAACCACGGTGGCAGAGGAAAGTGGTCAAGGTGTAGGGACATACAGCCTTACCCAGAGAAACCACGTTCCTGTAATTCTCCAGCATCACATCCCTATACAGGTTCCTCTTGACAGGGTCCAGCCACTCCCACTCATCCTGGAAGAAGGTCACCTCCACATCCTTGAAAGTCACCACCTCCTGAAACACACACAGTCCTGTGCAGCGCCCAGCCGGCAGGAGGGGCTCTGAGTGAGTATGGAGAAGACCATTTCCCTACAGAAGCACTCTGGGCTCTGGGGGGGATAATCTGGGCCGTGAGTCTCTGAATGGGAGGCCACCAGACAGACACACTCAGGACAGAGTGTATCTGTGTATGTGGGGTGGTGGTGCTGCTTCAGGACCCCCACTAGACACCAGTGCTGGGCCATCAGGCAGAACCTGAGGCAGCGTGGCTCACCTGGGGCTGGTCGGTCAGGAGTCTGGCTGCCTTCGCCCCATCGCCTGGGTAGCCCCCGCTCTGGGGAAGGGCAGGCTCCTGGGCAGCAGGAGGATCTGCGGGAAAAGAATGGCATGAAAGAGCAGCCAGTCCTGGGAAGCCCACTGAGAAGCCCTCGCTGCCCCGACGCAGAGGAGGCTGAGTCCCACCAGGTGCGGGTTGTGTGTGAGCTACAAGCTGTGCATCTGTCTGTTGGGAGTCGCAGGTTGGGGCTGAGTGGAGGTGCAATGGGAGAAAGAGCTACACACAGATGGTCACAGAGGTCACAGAGCCAAGGGCAAGGGCAGAAAGGGATCCTCAAGAGAGGCAGGAAGGGGAAGAGCACTCGGGGCAGCATGAGAAGACCACACTACAGGAACTTCGGGAGGTATGGCAGGAGGCTGGGGTCTCACAGCTAGGTAGCAAGTACCGGATTGCCCAGCCAGGTTGGCACGCACTCCTATTTCACAGGGGGGCTCCAGGTGGTCCCCCAGAGCAGAGCCGCTCCTGACAGGTGAAGCAAGGGGCCAGATCTGTGTGGCTTGCAGGGCTCCTGTACCCATCCAACGTACATCTGGGCTCTGGGCCGGGGCTGAGTCCTGGTGAGAAGAAAATGCCGTGAGAGGCTCCCGGTGGGAACCAGAAAGCAAACCCAGAGATGAGGCCACTTGGCCTGTCTCTAAAGGGCAGAGGCCCTGGGAAGGGTGGGCCAGGCCCTAATGACCTATAGGCAGAGGAGAAACAATGAGGAGAGGGCTAGAGAGGAGCATCCCAAGCCCTCAGCACCACGTCCTCTGCCTCCCCGGGCTCTATTATGCCAGGCAGGGAGGCTCCACAGGGCGGTCCCAGTGGAGACAGATCCCAGCAAGCAAGTACTTACAGAGTCAGTATCAACATCGCTGTCAGGACCAACAGTGACACCTCCCACCACCCCTGGCCTGGAACTTAGGTGGGAAAGATGGCATCTGACCCAGAGAGGTAACAACGAACAGGAGAGCTGCAGTACTCAGCATCTACCACGCGCCCGCACACCTCTAAGATGTGCACGGTGACCTGGAAGAGGCAGGGAGCTGAGGGATTGCCACGGCAGCACTGCTGGGGGAGGCGAGGTAAATTCAGAGGGCCAGCCATGGAGCCACAGAAGAGAAAAGTCGTCTCTCAGATGCGACATCTGGCAGGGCCCATCCATCCAACCAGCAGCCAGAGGGGAAGAAGCCTTTGCCCAAGACTCCAGAATGGTTCTGGGCTGCCTCCCAGGGACAGAAAAGAACAGGAAACTGAAAATCAATGAACGTCATGTCTTTCTGGTCAGGTGGCCAAGATCTCTACACTGAGAATCTTTGACTGAGGCCACTGAACAGTTGAAGCTACAGGTCACGGACCCAGAACTGGTCACAGGAAACAGCTCTCCCTTCATATCACCTGAGGATTTGTTAGGGTTTTTTTTTTTCTTGTTCAGGGGGCATCAGCTTGTTTCTCTCAGGCCCATTCAGTTTCTAATTCTTAATGGCTCTTCAACCAGTAAGGCTCCCTATTCACTGGTAAAGCTTTAAAATATAATCAGCTAGCTCTAAATTAGACGAATAAAACCAACTCGCCAATTTCCTAACCAGTGCTACCTTCTTTTTTTTTTTAATCATTTTATTTGGGCTAATACAATTCATCACAATACATAGATCATCTACCTTCTTTTATGAGTTATTTTTGGATATTTTAGAACATCTCACTGAGGCTCCCCAACTTTCTGGTCCATGGCTACTTCTCTCCCTCCCCCACTACTGTCTGCCTCCTGTGAGTGCTTGTGACACCCAATCCCCCAGGCAAAGGGAAGCAGCAGCAATGTGGTACATACACACAGTCCCCTCTGAGGGTGGTCCTCTCCTCCTCTCCTGTACACTCCCATTCAGAAACCACGAGTCCTTGTCCTCCTTACGAGCACAAGACATCGATCCCAGCGTACAGGCCAGAGTCAAATTAGAGACCTTACAAAGATGACTTTGGTACACTGTAAGCCAGTTAGCACTACTGACAGGTCTTTGACGACCCTCTTCATAGAGCTTATGTTCCTTGAGGGAGGTGGCAAGAACTACCTGCTACAAGACCCAGGGCCTGATCCTCAGCTCCCTCATGCAGGGGAGGAAGAGGGGGAAGCTTCCCCTGCACCCCGCAACACTACAGGCTCAGAGGCCCATCCTATGCCCAACAAGCTGGCTCCCTAAAGGCAACCCCACCCTTGCGCCCACTCACCCTCTGCAGTGTCCCAGCAAGGTCCCTCTGCAGCTCCTCCAGCAGGGCCACGGCCTCCTCCCCACTGCCGGGCCGATGCAGCTGCACCCAGGTGCGGAGCTCCCCTGGCAGGATGCTCAGGAACTGCTCCAGCACCAGCAGCTCCAGGATCTGGGCCTTAGAGAGGACATCGGGCCTCAGCCACCAGCGGCAGAGCTCCCGGAGTCGGCTCAGAGTATCCTGCGGCCCAGAAGACTCGTGGTAGCGAAGCTGCCTGAAGAGCTGGCGGAAGAGCTCCTGGCCAGAACGGTTGAGCGTCTGGGGCCTGGCCGCCTGCACTGAAGGGTAGCCCTCACCCTCCTTCTCCTTCTTGACCACCTGAAGGTGTCCTCGCTCCCTTGAGGCCTGGGCCCGGGTCCCTGGATGGGCAGCATACCACCGGCCTGGAGGCATTGCTCACACGTTCAAGGGTCTCCGTCAGAGAGAACGGCCCGAGTTTGCCTTAGTTGTACAGGCAGAGGCTGGGTCCTCAGGAGGGTCTTCTCAGCACCTGCGTGGACAAGGCCATTAGCTGGGACATCAGAGTGGAAGAGCCAAGATTTCTGTTCCAGAGGGAAGGAGAGAAGGATGTCCATCAGACAGGGACAACAAGATCTCAGGCAAGCATCACTGTGCCCTGATGTCTATGCCCACTGTGGTAGTTACAGAATCTGGTGCCCGTTTGGGACTTGAGAGGATTAAGATTGAAGGGGTGGGGTCTAGTCTGTCAATCAGGCCATACCCAATGAGGTCTCTGTATGGGCATGGCCTTCTCCTGAGAATTCTGGAAATTCGGTATTTCCTTCTTAGAGACAGGAGACACCCCTCTCTCTCTCTCTCTCTCTGCTCACTCCCTGGGAGACATTGCAGCTGACAAGACACAGTGAACTATGCTAGTGCCCTGAGCTGAAGAAGCCACATGGACCTTCTCTGATACAACCAAACCTCTGAAGCTAGAGAAGCCACACAGAGACCCCTACCAGGGCTGAGATGCTTACAATGCCACTGGATCCAAAGACGTTCTACTCAGTGGCCTGTGATTGTCCTGCATTCAGCGTCATTGCATGTGTTTCATGAGTCTGAAGAGGACTTTATAGATTGGTATCGGACATACGGGCTAATGTGGGACTTATGGGCTGGGAATGGACTGGGTTGGGATGCTCTCTTAATATACAAGTAAACTTTATATAAAACTCTCTCCTGTACACATATGCATGTCTATGGATTTGTTTCTCTAGTCTAGCCGGACTAACATACCCACCAAGCAGACCAAGGTGAGACTGCAAAGTCATGTGTTGGGGCAAGTTTAGAAAATAACCCACGATACACCACAGGGAGACACAGAAATCGAAAATATAAAAGTTAAGCGCTGCCTCCTCAAAGGAGAGTCGATCTCAATCACGCGGAGACCTTCATCTCCTGATGTGGCACCACTCAACATGAGAAGAAACCGTGGCACACATCATTAATCACTGGAAGTGCGATATCCAAAATAAGAACCTCAGGATACGGAAATGTGTCAGCAACTACATGAAATACACGGGGATCAATCAATATCCGAAGCATTAGTGGGCTGAAATGCACTAAGACTGGCCATGGTAAATCGGTCAGTCAGATGGCCTACGATGACAGGAATGACAAACGGAAAAGGGAGTGTCATATTTACTGCCAAAGAGCTCATTCGTTCCAAGATCTATCCTAAAGTGAAGCACTGTGAGTGAGTGAGTGAGTGAGTGAGTGTGTAATGTCCATCCGCTGACATGCACGGCCAGTTAGCAGGATTATTAGTTAAACCTATGGACTAACTATGACTGCCCCAAAAAAGAAATTCAAGATTTCCACCAATTTCTACAGTCTGAAATTGAGCAAACAAGCAATCATGAGTGATCACTACAGAATGGGTACAAAGAAGGATCAGCCGTTGAAAATACAGCCTTGGTGAGAGACAGGCCACCAGAGATACATCACAGAGCACTAGAAGCACTTCCTCCCAACAGCGTCCATGGTGATCCCATACCTGGGTCTCACCAGGTGGAATACCCAGGGACCAAATCCACTACCTCTGTGGCAAGGGACATTGGAGGAGACACTCAGGAACATCAGTCAGAACAAGGCCGGGCACCGTCTGCAGAACAGACCCTCAATTGCACCTATGTAAGTCTGAGTTGAAGCTGAAGAAAATTGAAACAAATATAAAGAGCCAAAGTGAGATCTTAAGTTGATCTCAGTTGACTTTAGAGATCTTTTCAAGATAGGTTTGATGCACTGAACACCAGCTGACTGCAGACTAGGTCGGTGGGGGATGACACCCAGCACAGGTGAAGAAAGCAAAAGGTCACGCGGGAGACCGCAGAGAACCCAAATGGATGTGAGAACAGACTGAAACCTGCCTCTGAACACACAGTGGCTACAGTGAATGGAGAAATGATGAAGTGAAAAAGCATACGGGGAAAAAATAAAAAAGGATACAGAAGATTCAAAAGCCGTTCCAGAAGCCCAAGTACAGTAAAAATGAAGTGTGAAAGAGCTAGAGTAAGAAAACCAAAAGGTTTTCCTCAGTAGTTTTCAACCTGAAAGCTGGTCCAAAAAAACCCGACATAAGGCATACCTTTATAATGACCTAGGAAAGACCAAACTGTAGCGCAGCGCTCAGAGGTTGCCAGGGACGCTGAGGGAGGGAGGAGAGAGGAGGGTGTGGGGGACAGTGAAATACTCTGTAAGACACAATAGCACTGCATGTAAACGACTGACTACATAAACGAGGGTGGGAAAGAGAACAATGCAGAGGGCTGGGGGAGGGGGCTGGGAGAGGTAAGACACCACAGTTGTAATTGCTGCAAGCAAGATTCACCAGGAATGCAAGCTAGTGAAAGTCGCAGAAGAAACAAAGTATTTGCATAGTCTCACAGTATCTTCCCCAAGATACTTATTACAAAGGGGAAAATTGTCACCACAGTGCTAAAACCTGGCCAACACCAAGTGACCAAGGCTAACCAGCAAGAAGGTGGATAACAGCATCCCCAACCAAGCACTCTCAATCACCCCACTGAGTTGATGCTGACTCACGG